GATGTTGCCATTAATGGAATTGAAGAACACAGGTGAATGAGGACTGGTGTGATAGGAGTAATAGTGGTAAACTGAGTTTTAGATGAGATGAGTTAGAGTGGCTGGTTGGACCCCCCCCAAGGAGATGTCCAGGGAGTATTTGGAAATGCTAACTCTTATCCTCTAAAAGACATTCAGAGATTGATTTGGACATGAGGGCTCATATGGAGAGGCAGCAGCTGAAAGCGTTGCTGAAAGTTGACAAGCAGACAGATGTAAAAGAAGATAGGACTCTCTCTGTAGTACAAATCCCTGCAGACCACCCAGATGAGAGGGGAAAAGATGAATCCTTGGAGATAGAAAGGATGACGACAGTTTCTTTGGTTTCCCAGAAGATAAGAAATGAGGCCATGAAGAGATACTTAGTTTCAATAATTTGAACTATAAATTTCTGAGTTGCTCCTGCTGCTATTGTTACTTCCTTTGGGTACAAAGTAATAAATTGAAACATGAGGTTTTGGTTTTTAATAGGAATTGGATTTTTAGCATTATAAGTGCATAGGATAACAAATAGACTTTCCTTTGAATTCTGCGTTATACGTTCCAGGTTGTTGCTTGACTTTGAGAGTTGAAAGAATCATTTTCATTCATCGGTGTCATCTTTTGAGCAACACGTTATTTTTATTATATATGATAAAGGACAGAATTTCTTCAAAGACAGTGTCTCTTAACACTTTAGCCATTAATGTCCCGTGTTGAGATTTCTGTCCTGTCCATGCACCACGTGTGCTCTTATTTAAAATGTACACTTACTACTTCCTCTACATTTACTTTATCTTCCTTACTGAATTAGGTGCTGCTCTGTGCTTCTAAAATACCTCTGTTGGCTGGGTGCCGGTGCTTGGGTCTGTAAGGGAGGCTGAGCAGAGTGGATTGCTTGAGTTCAGGAGTTCGAAACCAGCCTGAGCAAGAGCCAAGGCCCTGTTGTTGCTGTGAGGGTGTTGCCATTAGGGTCTCACGGAAAAGCAATGTCATGAAGAATAAGCACGCTTATTGAAATTGTGTTTTAAATAAAGGTGACCATCTGCTCGCTCAGGCAAAATGGCGAGCTTCTTTATTTACTGTTGGTTTATATAGGCAATCTTGTGCATGCACACTATACAGCAATGACCTCATTAATATTCATTATAATCCCTCTGCATATGGGCACTGGGCGTCAATGACTTCATTAATCCATTTAAACATCTTGTGACCACCTGACCTGTAAGTAGCTCCTTCCTAGTAATCTGATAATCCACCCAACATACACCTTTAAGCATAACCCTTTCAACATAACCCGGTTTAGCATAACTTAATGGAGAACATGTTGTTAGTCATCACCTTATTTGTTCTTATCTGATGAAGCCTGAGACTATGGAGGAACAAGGTAGATTGAGTACCTGCCCTTGCTGACTGTGCCTGTTTGGAGGCTGTTACTGTGAATCTTTAAGCAAGGCATAAAGAAACTTCTTGGGTATACAAGAATTTGTGTGCAAACCTCTGTTCCCTTGTAGGCCTTAAGTCAGGGAGTTTTTGCTGGAACCTTTTATAAGGAATTTTCAGGCTGGACTTCTCAAAAGCCTTTCATGAGCCCAGGTTTCATCTGTGCCATTAGATACCTGTATGCATTGGGTAAATTCCTCTTCTCTTGAGGTCCCTGAGCACATTTCCATTCCCGGACCCGTCAGCAAGTGACCTTTGTCACTTACCACAGATCAGGAAAGGTTACTGATGGGTATCTGGCAAGTTTTCCAAAGGGCTTTTTTATTGGCATTATAAAGTCAACCTTAATTCCTTAACGCAGTCTGGAAATGCTATTCCAGCCAAAGCCTTGGTCATGTTAGGCCCACAACTAACCTGGCCACATGGGATTCTGCCTCAGTTTCTTACAGGTATGCTTGCACAAAGTCTTTCCACTGCTCTCTCTCAAGTGGCTTTTTTGGCCAGAGGCATATAGGCATTTCGCCTATACCCTGTCTCTACTACAAATAGAAAGACTAGGTGTCATGGCATGCACCTGTTGTCCCAGCTACTTGGGAGGCTGAGGCAGGAGGATCACTTGAGCCCAAGAGTTTGAGGTTGCTATGAGCTATGATGTCATGGCACTCTACCCAAGGAGACAGAGTAAGACTCTGACTTAAAAAATAAATAAATCATTAAACCAAAAAAAAAAAAAAAAAAAAACTCTGCCCTCAAGGTCCCCCCCATATCAGCATCATTAAACTGTCTCCCCACAAATACATGGTTTTCTCAACGACACAATAATTATTTCCTATATGTATTCCACAAATTTGCCAAACACAGCAAATACTCACTATAAATATAGTTGTAATCAAAAGAAGTTTATTTCTTACCCTCAGGGGAAATCTAGTCTTACGGATAAAAAAGCTTTACATCTGTATTATTTAATACTTTATTGCCACTTTATTGTTTTAGTCCTGATTATTACATAAAAATTGTTATAAGTCCTTTGGAGAAAAGTGTTATGCAGACATGGGCATAATTTTGATTTTGAAAGTCAGTGGAGTCATCTCTGAGAAACTCACCTGTCTGTCGTTTCCTTTGAGTGTTTCCAGAATCTGACACATAATAAATAAGGAACGTTCAGTGAATAAACTCTAGGTTTGGAGGAGTTATTTCATACATTCATATAATACATCAAATTATAAAGAATATATTCACTTCTTTTGATATTCCAGTTAAGAACATTGAAATTATTCTAAATGTTAAGGGTTTTTTAATTGATGGGAAATTTCCCTGTCTTATTACTTTAGTGCATATTTATTCTACACAGTTTTTTCCTTAAAATAAAAACCTTTACACTTATCTATGTTCTTTTCTTCCCAACTGATACCCCATTGATCACCTCTCCTCCCCCCCCCCCCGAACATACCTTGGGAAATACCATTTTCATGAAAAAAAGGCGTGCCAGTTTATCACTGGGATTTTCTTTCTTGTTGGAAAGAGATTTAAGTGAAGTGATTGTCCCACTTGTAGCTCATTGTGGTACATTTTTCTCCTTCCCTGTAATAAATTGGTAACTGGCACCTAAATGATGAAATCTGGGCTGGTGAAGCATCAGGCTGCTGTCAGCTCTGGGTTTGTCAGAGAGACAAGGTAACTGAAAAGCAGCACAACCAGCTGGGGGAAAGTGGGGCATGCATGATTCTTCAGGAGACATGATTCTTCACCCTTCTTCCGTAGGTAAGAGAAGGATTTAAGGAAGAAAAAGAGAGGATTCTGTTTGTTCTGCCAGAACCAGCTGTAGAAAAAAATATCCAGTTATATAGTCTTTTACCTTGCATGTTACTCTTAGAGAATAGTATTCGTTCTCAAAAAGTAAAATAACTTCTTGTACTGATTCCACCCTCATGGCATATTGTATGTTCTCATCTGCAGTCTATTGGGAAATTCCAAGAATTTAATTTCATGAAATGATCTATTTCTTTTCTAGTAATGGAGTGAAGGACTTGTTTAAATAAGCACATGATTTGTGGTGTATTGATGCAAACCACAGGTCTTAGAGTCTGTGCAGTGGTTTTTGTTTCTTTTTGTTTTGAGACATAGTCTCACTATGTTGCTCTTGGTAGAGTGCTGTGACATCACAGCTCACAGCACCTCAAACTCTGGGGCTTAACTGAGTCTCTTGCCTCAGCCTCCCAAGTAGCTGGGCTACAGGCGCCCACCACAACGCCTGGCTATGTTTTGTGGCAGTTGTCATTGTTGATTTTAGCAGGCCCGGGCTGGGTTTGAACCCACCAGCCTTGGTGTATGTGCCGATGTCCTACCCACTGAGCTACGTGCACACTGCCTGTTCAGTGTTTCTATCACAGAATCGCCAAGGCTGGGTAATTCGTAAGGAAATGAGGGTTATGTGACTCATGGTTTTACAGGTTGCTTGTATAAGAAGCACGGTCCCATATCTCCTTGGCTTTTGGCTAAGGCCTCGTGGTGGAAGGGACTGGGAAGCTGGCATGCACAGAGATCACATGGGAAGAGAGGAAGCACAAGACGGTGGGGGCAGATGCCAGAATCTTAACATCCACCTCTCACCAGAACTAATAAAGTGAGAACTCACTCACTGCTGTGAGAATGGCACCAAGCCGTTCATAAGGGATCTGCCTCCATGCCCCAAGCACCTCCTCCTAGGCCCCACTCTGACCCTGGAATGGAATTTCAGGGGGTGTCTGGAAAGAACAAATATCCAAACTCAGAGCGCTAACTAGGTAACAGAGTGGGCAACAATAGAACTTCATTATCCTTCCACTCCCGTTTGCTGAATTAATGATGGGGAACAGTGCTGATGATAGGAGGTGCGAGAGTCTGGGTACCAGTCATAAAACCAGATTAGCCTTCTCAGCCCAGGCCCATCGCTTATACTAACCCCTCTAAGCCTTTATAGACATAAGAGGTGAGTAATAATACCTGTCTCAGAGAACTGGAAAGCGTAACATTTTGCCTAAGATCAAGTGAGCTAAATTGCTTCTGTTAAATGAAAAGATGCTATAATGTAACGTTATATTACTGTTGTTTGTTGTTCTGTCGTCTTTTCTGTTGTGTATTTTACTATCTGTGGATTCTAGTATATTTGTTATCACTCAAATATTAGAAAATCTGCTTTGCTTTGTTGCAAACGTGTTTCTAGAATTTAGCACCTTCTTTTCCCTGTTTAGATGAATAATTGCTGTTATCTGTAATAGTTTGGAATGCTGTAGACTTATGTAGATTTCTAGTTGCTTAACAATGCCATATTTACGAACTAGACTCAAAAGGACCACTTAGATTTGGAGATGGGATTTCCACAGGACACAAAGCAGTGTCCAGAATAAACAAAGGTCCTTTGGTTATGCTTCAGTTTTAAGTTTTACCCATCCCCTTTGTAATTTGAGAATGCTGAAGATTTTGGCACCCAGAACACCAGAATTTTTATTGTTAAAGAACAAAATATCAGTGAAATACTGAATTCTATTCTTTCTCTACAGTGCCTCCAAAGCCATTCCACCTGCAGAATTCACCTTCGTCCAATATACACCAAACCCCCAGACATAAAGCTTTACCTAGTGCAATACCAAGGATGGAGGAAGTTAAACCTGCCTCTGCTTCTTGTGTCTCAAAAGAAAAACCCAGTAAGGTATCAGATCTCATCAGTCGCTTTGAAGGAGGCAGGTAAGAGTTAATTTGCAATGGGAGAAGGCAGGGGGAAGACGAAAGATGGTTTGGAAAAGGTGACAGAGTCATCATAGATTCTGTAAACCAGAAACGATGGGTTTTTCCCTATTAGCTTTGGTAGGTCTTTAGAAAGAGTGGATCTTTTAAATAAGTGATTTAATCTTGGTGCGATTTGTGAATTGTCCCTTACCATGTATGCTACCCATGTGCAGCCCTGCAGCCACCAACTTTTCAGATTGTGTGCTCCTGTGTATCTGTACGTATGCTCTCGCCTTTCCTCCGTGTCGGTGTGTTACTTTGTTGGTGGCTGGACGTGTGGCCTGGAGAGGCTGGGGGATTGTCTCTCTTTGTTTCTTACCTTGTAGATTGTGAGTGTGACTCCTGTCTCATCCCTGGAACCCTCTTGTCTCTCTGACCCACTGATTTAATATGGATCTTCTTATGCCCATTCAGCCCCCATTTTCCCTCTCCACATACCCCATCTGATGGTAGGTTTTGGAAAGAGCTATTTTTACTAATAGCAAAATTCACAAAAATAGCACTAAATTTCCGTTTTCGTAATTTATTATATATAGTTTATATTCTTTAGTTTTACTGTTTGAAAAAAAGTAGGTGCAATAGTGTGTTTTTCTGACTTAAGATGAAGACAAACCCACTGGCTGGGCGCAATGGCTCACGCCTGTAATCTTAGCACTCTGGGAGGCAAGCCAGGTGGACTGCTTGAGCTCATGAGTTCGAGACCAGCCTGAGCAAAAAGCGAGACCTCCCATCTCTACTAAAAATAGAAAAACTGAGGCAAGAGGATCACTTGAGCCCAAGAGTGGGACATTGCTTTCAGCTATAACATCACGGCACTCTACCCAGGGCAACAGCTTAAGACTCTGACTCAAAAACAAAACCCACATAAGATTGCCTTTCTATTTATGAGACACTCAATTGTTTTCTCTTAGTGTCTTCTGATAAAAAGAATTTTCAGCACTGATTTAAATAGAATTTTTAAAAATTTTTATCCTGTCTTGTTTATATCTGGCACCAAAAGTCTCTTTTTAATTATTAAACAGAATGTATATAACTTCACTTTCATCCTGGAAGCCACATTTTTCATTTGTTCTGGTGTAATATTTGGGAATGGCTTCCCCACAAGGTAATCTTATTATTATTTATTTTTATTTAATTATTTTTTTGGCTGGATCCAGGTTTGAACCAGCCACCTCTGGCATTTGGGGCCAGCGCCCTACTCCTTAGAGCCACAGGCACTGCCCCAATTTTATTATTTATTAACAAAATAATATTTGCAGGATTCATTGTTATTTATGTAATGAAGTCACAGCTTGGAAATCCTTTGAGAATCTTTTGGAAATTGTGACCAAGCACAAAACTGCAGTGTGTTCCTCATTGAAAAATGGGACTGTATCTATTTACAAGTTTTGGAGTAAAGTCACCTAGAAACTTCTCTTCATTTTTCATTTCTGATCACTTTTTGGAACTTTGATCATAAATATTTAAATGTCAACATCTTTCCCTCTGAATTAGGATTTATAATACCTTTACTGTCTTAAATTACACTGATCTTTACTGGAATGATTTAATTTAATTTCATATTTTATTTTACTTCTCCCGGTAAGTTAACAGTAACAGAGTTTAACCCGCCTGTTGAACACAAGGAGGGCTGGAGCTCTGGTCCCCAGTGTCGTGGGTGCCAGAGCCTGCAGCCCTGGGTTTCGGGGAAGCTGATTCAGGGTCAGGGTTCCAACGAGTAGTCAGAAATGAAAGATGGAGAGAGGCCTCTAAGTAACTTTGTCCAAAATTTGGAAATAGATGCAGTCCCACTCTTCCAAGGGTTGGTTCCCATAATCCTTTACCATTTTGGTATCCTCCCTACCCGTGAAATGTTTATAGTTTTTTGATACCAGTTATTTTATTCTTGTAAGCTTTACAAGTTTGAAAGTCATTTTTAATGCAAAGCTTGAAGGTTTGACATAAGAAGAGATGTGCTATAATTTATTTATATTTCAAGCAAGTTTATTCTGAGTGCAGATGGGGTGTCAAGTGTTTTGACAAGTCTGGTGAAAGGATGTTATTTATGGTATTGCCAATCTGAAACATGCGTTCTCGGTGAGGTGTTACCCCCACACGTGGGCCGCAGAGGGCCTGAGTAGGTTAATAGTGCAGTGCGTCTGCAGGACTTCAGGGGAAATGTGTTCGCGCTGTTCAGTGATGTCCCTGTGTCTGCAAAGGTGGCTTTTGGTTTTAAACTTGCTTATTAGACCTTGAACTAGCATGTTGTAAAGTAGAAGGTGATTGCAAGCTCTGAGTTACCATGGGAAATTGACGAGAAGAACCAGCATCTGTTACAGTAGAGTCTTGTCAGGATGGAATGATTCAAGTAACACTGTTTTATTAACAAGAGGTCTGCATCAGGATTTTTTTTTTTTAAGTGTAGCTTCCTTTTTTCTCTCTTTTCTCTCCCTCCTCTCTTCCCTGCCTTCCCTCCCCTCTCTCTTCTTTTTTTTCCCTTTTCTTTCTCTCTTTCAGAATGAGAGATTACTCTGTTTAACTTAGGAAAAACTTTAAGATTTTAGAAATAAGTAACAGTTTCCTATAAACCTGAACATTGTTTCTCCCAAGGCCAAGGTTTCCCCTCTGCTTTCTCATCCACAGAGCAGCAGGAATCGTCTAAGTGCAGCTTCAGGTGCTGACTTTCTCCTCCTGCATCTGATCTCCACCCCACCACCCCACAACCCCACCACCCCACATGCACCCTTGATGTCACTCCCTGACGATTTCTAGCTCTGCTCCAAGGCAGTCGTTTAGAGAAGTCCTGTGCACGCTTAAGTTTGATTCAGTGGGTCTGTTGAAAATCTCTGTCTTAGGCACTAATAGTGGCATGAAAAAGAGGACAGTCTGATTCAAGTCCCCAAGGACTGCTTGTGAAACTAGGCCAAAGGCATCCTCTTCTAAATGGCAAATATCACCTCCAACTTTGATATATATTAAATTTTATCCTACTAAGTTTTTCCTTCTCTTTCTGTGGCCTGAACTTAACTCTTATCTTTTTTCCTCACTTACCACTTTCTAGCTGTCCATTCTGCAGTCCAGATCAGCAGGGAGTAGGAAGAGCGGAGTGGAGAGGGAGGGTGACTCACATCTCAGCACTGCCCTTGTACCCGTGCTGCTGCCCCCTCCCTGCCCCCCTAACCCTGCCACCCCTCTGCCTGCACTGGGAGGGGCAGCCAGCCCTGGACTTTGTTCCGCCTGTTCACCTGATCTTCACTCTGTCCTTCTGTGAAGACAAAGAGATTTAGAGCTGGACTTCTTGGTTTAAATTCTGGCTTTTTCACTTGTTAGCCATGTGATGTAATTACACCTTATGTAATTTTCTAAGCCTAAATTTATGGGGTCCCTGATTTTAGCTTTATAATGAAGGTGAAATGAGATAATTAACGTAGAGACTTTAGTGTAGCTTGTAGTTCTTTGTAAGCACTTAATAAATGTTAATGGCTTTATTGTCGCAATCACATCATCATCGTCACAGCTATTCATAGTTCATCACATATGTATTGAACACTTCCCACGTGTCAAGCCCTGTGCCAGTGGGTAGGAATACAGCAGAGAACAAGACAGCACAACCTGTACCTTAGAGAGTTTTAGTCTGTATTTCTTTCTCCTCCCTTAAGTCACAGGAATCTTATAGACAGAGTTTTGTGTTCTGTTCCCGCTTCCCCATCCTAGAGGAAATGCTATAAAATATTTCTTTAAGGACATCGCTGTATTTTTTTTTTTTTTTTGAGACAGAGTCTTACTATGTCACCCTTGGTACAGTGCCATGATGTCACAGCTCACAGCAGCCTCCAACTTTGGGGCTTAAATGATTCTCTTGCCTCAGCCTCCCAAGTAGCTGGGATTACAGGCACCTGCCACAACGCCTGGCTATTTTTTTGTTGTAGTTGTCATTGTTGTTTAGCAGGCCCAGGCCGGGTTCAAACCTGCCAGCCCTGGTGTATGTGGCTGGCACCCTAACCACTGAGCTACAAGCGCCGAGCTGACATTGTTATATATTGAGAGTGAGTTTCCATCGTCCTATCAGTTCTATCAGGACTGCATACAATATCAAGTAAGCAAAAGGACTTAAAAGAAAAATAAGATGTGGATTTAGTGGTGGAGTATGCTGTTGTGGATAGTCTCATCTAGAAACCCACTTTGAATGATATCTGAGTAGAAACCTGCATGGGGGAAGAAACCACACCAGAGTTTGGGGTACGGTGGTCCTAGGTAGAGAAGAGCAGCAGCAGAGACCCTCGGGTGCATACATTTGCTCACTGGGCCCAGAGAGCAGCAAGGAGCGTGGCGAGAGCACAGGGAGCCGGGGGAGAAGGGAACATAGTGAGCAGTCCGCGGCCATCGGCCGCTGCAGGGTGTGGAATCTTGTAGGCTGCTGTCAGGATGTCAGTTTTTCCTTGGGGGTGTGTGCAGGACCCCTCAGAGAATTCTGATCTCTATGATTTCATCGTAGAGACTAAATTGGAGAAGATCAAGAGTGGAAACAAGAACCCTATAAAAGGCTATTGCAGCACATACTAATAAAGTTCTTGAGAATATACATTCCAAATAAAAGCAATTTCTTGGTTTATAAATTTGTAAATTAAGGACAGGCTTATATCTGGGTTGGTTTACTTTTTGTTTTGGGTTTTTTGGTGTGTGTTGTTTTTGTTTCTATTTTCAGATAACTATCAGGGTACAGATGATTAGGGTTACACACGTTTGAGGTTGTTAGGTAAAATCCAAGCTGTAGCTGAGCCCTTCATCTGGGAGGTGTGCCAAAGACCCTTACACTGTGCCCATGAGGCCAGCGTTCACCAATCCCTCTCCCTCCTCCCCCTCCCCTTGAATTTAATCGTGTTTTTCTCTTGTGTGGGGAGGTAGTTCATCTACTGGTATTATATGAATATTGAGTACATTGGATATTTTTCCGTTCTTGTGATATTTTACTAAGGAGCATGTTCTTCAACTTCATCCAGGTTAATATAAAAGATGTAAAGTCCCCATCTCTTTTATGACTCAGTAGTATTCCAGGGTGTACATATACCACAGTTTATTAATCCATCCCTGGGCTTATGGGCACTTGGGTTGATTCCCCATCTATCTGTTTTTAAAGTGTTAAAAAACAAAATGTTCACACATTGCTGACCCTGGTAACATGGACAGTTTCTGCATAAAATTGCCAGTCAGTACGTGGAAGATGTTGGAGGTGCTAAGTGATTCTGTTTTATAAGGCAGCTGCGAAGAGGGGAGAAAGAATAAAATAGGCTGACTTTGGACTTGAGACTGGGAGAAAATGAATCAGGGAACAGCTGCAGTTTTATGCAGAAATTCTCCATGTCAGCAGGTAACTTGTGACCCACGTGTTAAGAAACACCAATAAATAAAAACCGTGGGAAGAGGTGACTTTATTAAATATACTTGTTTCTTCCATCTAAGTCTTTACGATGATTAAACAGTCCCAGGAAAATTCCACGCCCATTGTGTGAAGCTCAGGCTCATCATCTTTCTTTACATGTTTATTTAAATGTGGGCAGCACCCCCAGGAGACCGATGGCTGCACTGAGAATATCCAAATCCATGTTTCCAAAACTATCAGAGACGGAAAAAACAAATCTTCACCAAACAGCCCTTTCTTTTTGTTTTATTTTCAAATTAATTGAGGAGACACACAACGCAGTTACCCGGTTTGCATTTGTTAGGAAGAGTCCCTGTTGTAGTTGTGCTTCAGCTGGGATAAACTGCCTTCTTTCTACAGCTTTTCCTTGCTGATGTTCTCATGCGTGCTTTGTGTTTTATCTTTTAGTGCATTATCAAATTATAGCGATCTGAAGAAAGAGTCTGCTGCAAACCTCCATGCTCCTAGAACCCCAGGAAGGCATGGATTGACAAGCACACCTCAACAAAAACTCCTCTCCCTGCACCCACCATGGAGGCAGGGACGTGACACCGACGAGCCTCAGGTTGCAGAGACTTGTGTGGCCAATGGGATAATGGCAGCGCAAAGCCAGATGGAATGTGAGGACGATAAAGTGGCCGCTCTGAGTCCAGATACTCCTATTCAAACATCTGAACCCTTGCTTGGCGTGCACTGGGTGAATGGAGAGAGAGAAGAAACTGCTGCAGGTCCTGCGTCACCCACAACAGATGACTGTGATGGAAATGCTCTTGATGGTGGCAGCAGCAGGACTCCAAGCTTAGACCCCGTGCTCACCCTAGAAGGAGGGGCAGACGAAGAAGCCAAGAGCCAAGAGAGGGAGGATGGAGAAAGCCCTCTGGAACTGGAACAGCTGGACCAGCACCAGGAGATAAAGGTAGAACCTGACTGTAGCTCATGACGAGGGGGAAAGATGGCCTGTTTATTTCATAGCTCTCATGAAATAAGTGAGTCAGATCACCCACACCAGCTGTTCAATAATTTTTAAGCTGTGGCTGCTAATGAGTGTTTCCTCTTTGCGGGGAGGAGATATTTCACTTTTTCCTTGTATGTAGTTTCTGTTGATATCCCTACTATAATTTCAAGAGTGGTATGCTGATGTTGATAAGGAGAGACCATGGACACGCTGCTTTCTTTTTTTTTTTTTTTGAGACAGAGCCTCAAGCTGTCCCCCTGGGTAGAGTGCTGTGGCATCACAGCTCACAGCAACCTCCAACTCCCGGGCTCAAGAGAGTCTCCTGCCTCTGCTTCCCAAGTAGCTGGGACCACAGGTGCCCGCCACAACACCTGGCTTTTGTGGGGAGGGGGTTTGCAGCCATCAGTGTTTGGCAGCCCGGGCTGGATTCGAACCTGCCACCTGAGGTGTATGTGCCTGGTGCCTTAGCCACTCGAGCCACAGGCGCTGAGCCTTGGACATGAATTTGGAAGTATTCACAAATCATTCATCAGAGTATATTTATAACACTTTCTAGGCTTCTTCTTCTTTTTTTTTTTTAGTCTTCTCTAATTAATACCTAATTTATAATCAGTGGCTTAGTCTGAGTTAGAAGATCATCTAGAGATCGTCTTGGTTCATCTGTTCACTTATAGAAGAAGAACCAGTCCTAGAAAGTAGGATTTTTCAAGGTCACAAACGCACTGCTTGTAATAAGCTCCGTACCCTAGTGCCGTGACTCCAGGGCCAGTGTTGTATCCCTGGTGCAACAAGTCACAAACTTAAATAGCTAAATGCAAGAAATTTTAATGACTACACCAGCCATGGGTAATCAGCTGCTGAGGCTGTGGCCTATTGGACATCCATGCACTTTCTAAAGAGGAAAGTAGCCTGCATGGTGTTTCTGCTCATGGATTAATACAAAATGTCAGCTACCAAAGAGCTGATTTGCTGGTGAAATATAGTCATAATTTACCTGGACTATTGCAGAAATATTTACATAATGCCAGCAATAAGACCATTGCATTTATGTTTCATTATTATGTTAATAGCGTACTTTAGGAATATTAATAATTATGTCTATTACAAAGTACTTGGAATTCCTTGGATCAAAGGTGCTATATAAGTATCATCATAAATATCCCTACAATTAGGAAGCCATTTACATCTCTAAAGATAAGAAAAAAGTTTGCTAAGTCTCTTTTATTGATACAAATAACTACGTAGCAGAATTGAGCATTGAAAATGTGACAATTAGTGGAAGATTTGTAAATGACAAAGCCAAGGCTTAAATCTATTAAGGATTTTTATGGTGCTGCGCCTTAACTGGCTTTAACCCTGGCAGCAGTGCAAAAGGACCCAGGCTAAAATATCCAGAATAAAAAAGGGATCGAGATATTTTGAATTTTAATCAAGTGAAATCAACCTTATGGTACAATCTTTACTGACCCTAAAGAAGAAAAGAATCCCAAATACACAAAGGGGAAAATGGTTTATGTTGTTCTATTTAGTGCATTAATTATAAATACTGACTGTCGAGCAGGGAAAGTTTAAGTAAGGAAGTGCGTAGGAGAAAGTGAGTCATACTTGGTAACAGGATTTGAAACTAAAGAGATAGGACACTGCAAAGCGAATCTCTTTACATTTCGATAAAGTGGTAGATCTTAGTGGCTTGAACCATGGTGGAAGGGAGAGACCGTTAGAACCAAGAAAGCCTTTGACCGGTGAGATGATGCCACCAGCAAGTGTTTACAAAACAGTAAGGCCTATAATTTTTAAGGGAAATACTTTAATTGATGATAATGCCTGTGGTTGCTGGGTAGTACTTTTTCTCCTCCTCTTATGCATTATTATCGATATGTTTCCATAGATGAGTCTTCCTTGGTTTGGGAGAGATTTAATAGGGTGTGTTGTTATTAAACTAGTGAGACTAAGAATAGTCCAGCTGGCCTTTGTCCTGGGTGGGCTTTTAAGTAGTGCCGTATGGGGGTTTGGGAGGAAATTTCCTCGGCAGAGCTACTGATGCGAGCACTGCATCTCTCTGTTTCGGATTTAATATCTAGTTAGTGATGTTAGCGCTCTCCTTTGCTGCTCTGATGATGTCTGTTACATTGCCTTCTCGTTCCTAGTGTCGAGGTGGTAAATTTTGTTCTATAACAGCTAAAACTAAAATCTTTTTTGATCTTAAAATATAAAATCTGGGCAGTGCCTGTGGCTCAAAGGAGTAGGGTGCTGACCCCATATGCCAGAGGTGGTGGGTTCAAGCCCAGCCCTAGCCAAAAACTGCAAAAAATAGTAATAATAATAATAATAAATCTTTAGTGGCATATAGTGGCCCAAACAACGGGGACCATGAAACCTTGATGATTACTTCTGGATTGTCCACTAATAGCACTATGAACTTGAGCACATTAATAACTTTCTAAGTGTGTGTGGTTAAAGGATATAGACTGTATATGAACTTGACGTCCTTTTCAGTGATGATACAACAGTTCTGTGCTGTTGTGTGTAAGCATCTTCCCTTGTTAGCTTTATCCTCCAGATCATCAGCTGCTTCTTAAACTGACATGTTCAGCTTCTAAGATATAATGGAATATTTAGGGTTTCAATAGCCAGGGAACTGAAAAAAATGATTTCAATCTTTATATAACTGGACGTAGAGAATTACATCAGAGTAGTCTTAAATACTGGCCAGGCTCAGCAGCTCACCCCTGTAATCCCAGCATCCTGAGAATCTGAGGCAAGAGGATCACTTGAGGCTAGTAGTTCAAGACCAGCTTGGGCAACATAGCAAGACCCTGTCTCTACATACGCAAAAATGATAATAAGAGGAAACTTAGTCAGGTGTGGTGGTGTACACCTATAGTACCAGTTATGCAGGGGGTTGAGAGAAAGATCACTTGAGCTTAGGAGTTTGATGTTGCAGTGAGCTATGATGTGGCCAGTGCACTCCAGCCGAGGTGACACTGTGGCATCCTGTTAAAAGGAAGAAAGAAAAGAAAGCTTATAAGTTACAGGGTAGGAAAAGGCACAGGAATATTGTAGTGTGCACATGCCCTGTAAGCCTGCACCCTTAAGGATTTCATGGGAGTTGTCACAAATAGCTTAAACTGTATTAAGTATTCTATTTACGAGACTCAGGTTAATGGGTCAACGCATTTTAGAATGAGTTTCATTGAAAATGATTATCATGGGCAGCGCCTGTGACTCAAAGGAGTAGGGTGCCAGCCCCATATGCCGGAGGTGGCAGGTTCAAACCCAGCCCCAGCCAAAAACTGCAAAAAAAAAGATTATCATTTCTCAGATTTGTATTCTTCAGTAGATAAACTTAGTTGTCTAGAAATGCACTAATGTGGAATGAGCCATAAAACCATACAAACGAAAATTTATCTTTGCAGTTTCACGAGCCTTGTAATATCCAGGATATACTTTAGCAGGTTGAATTCGTAGATTTCTCTCAGATTTATTCACAGTGTTATAGTAAGAATCTGCGCCTACAGATATTTTGTTTAAAAGACTAGCTGGGGCCAGGTGTGGTAGCTCAGATTGCCCCTAGCACTCTGAGAGGCCAAGGCTGGAGGATCACTTGAGCTTAGAAGTTTGCGACCAGCCTGAGTAAGAGTGAGACTCTGTCTCCCTACTGTAAATAGAAAAATTAACTGGGTATAGTTGCAGGTGTCTATAGTCCCAGCTACTCAGGAGTCTGAGGTAGGGAGATCCCTGGAGCCCAGGAATTAAGAGGTTGCAGTGAGCTATTATCATGTCATTGCACTCTTCCTGGGGCCACAGAGTAAGACTCTGTCTCAAAAAAGAAAAAAAAAGAAAAAAGAAAATACAAATAACCACCCATAATTCTACCACTCAGAAAGAACTGCTTAGATATTTAACATCCTAGCTTGTTTTTCTGAGTTCTGTTTGAAAAAATCTGTATTCAACGGCACAATGTATGGTCCCTCTATATCCTGTTTTGCTAGATTAAAGATGGGTATTTTCCCGTATTAATTCAAACGTTCCATAAGCCCAGTACTATCTAGCCTAAGAAACAATTAAAGCATGGAAGTGACATGATGACACATCCGTGGGTTTTAGAAAATGAGTCAGATGAAAGGAAAAGCAGATGGAGCAGGGCACGTGGTTAGGGAGCCATGGTTAGGGAGCCACCATGCTAGGCCAGGTGTGATGGGGAGAAGGCCTGTGGGGGGCAGAGGGTTAGAGATGAGAGAGAGAGAGCGCTTTCTTTCTTTCTTTCCTTCACTCTTCTCTCTCCTCTTCTCTTTTCTCCCTCCCCTCCCCTCCTGCACCCTTAAAGATTTCTTGGGAGTTGCCATAAATAGCTTAAACTGTATTAAATCTTCTATTTACAAGACTCAGGTAAATGGGTCGATGCATTTTAGAAATTTCATTCAAAAGGATTTTCTTTTCTTTTTCTTTCTTCCTTATTTTAAGTCAGTTTATTTCAGGTTAATGTGAGGGTACAGCAACCAGGTCAAAATATTTGATTTCATTAGGGACAGTTCATCTTGTGGTTATGTCCCACACGCAAAAGGTGTGTCAACCCCACCCCTGCCGCCCGTGCCCCTTCAGGGAGAGCATCCCAAGCCCTTCCTTCTCCCCCCAACTTGAGTTGAAATGAATTTTTCTCCTATTTAGGCATGCATTGAATCGTCTACTGGCTTCATATTAGCATTGAGTGCATTGGATATTTGCTTTTCCATTCTTGTGATACTTTACTAAAAATATGTTTCAGTTCCATCCAGGATATTACAAAAGATTTGAAGTCACCAGCTTAGTTATGGCTGAATAGTATTCCATGGTATGCAGGTATCACAATTCGTTAATCCATTCTGGAGTTGATGGGCATTTAGGTTGTTTCCATGTCCTGGCAATTGTAAACCGAGCTGCAGTGAACAATCTAGTGCAAATGTCCTTATGGTCAGATGAGT